GAATTACATCCACACCTACCCTAATTCGACATGGCCATGTCGAATTTAGCACTACTCCCCTCGTCGGGGAGGAGTACAGAAATCGATTTAAAGAGACCTCTATGTCAAAATAAATAGCTTCGTTGTGTGGACGGGTGCAGGATTAATTCGAGTTAACGCTGCTAAATTCGACATAACCTCCTAGTGTAGACCAGGCCTTAGAAAACCATTGGGGTCAGTGCAAAAAAGACTGCTGTTTTTACAAATGTTGATTGGGCCTCTCTTCTTTATCATTTTACAGGTCTTGTAGAAATTTGCCTCATGCACCCTCTTGATGTAGTGAAAACCAGGTAAGGTTCTGCTTGAACAAGTTTTATTGACACTGGAAAATGTCCAAATTGGGAGCTGTCAGAAAATTTAATGCTAGAACTTGTCCAAGTAAGATAACTTTTCCCTTTAATGGCATTTATGTTTACTTACTGCTTTTTACAGCACTTAATAGACAGAATTTGAATAGCATGATGCATTTCTGGTTAGAGGTCATCTGAAGGTGTTAAATACTTTTTATGAAATACTGTCTTCAAATAATAGCAAAAGGAGATCCTATTAAATAAAAGTTGAACATTTAAATGTGCTTACTGTATTCATCATCTCAAGTAATGTTTTTATTTGAAACTAAAGTGCCATATTGCCTTAGAAATATTTTTGAGATCTGCTGCAATGGGTCATGCTTTCAAAAGTTAGTACAAAAGGATGTTCCCCAAATTAGCACATGAAAATTGGGTTATTTCACACCAACTATACTTTGCCCCCATTTTCCTGCATTAGCCATACAAATTTGTGTTTTTGAGAGTACACGTGGTGACCAATTTTAAAAAAAATTGTCCTAAAATTTCTGTTCTATCGTATTGTTCATTTAGAAGAAAAAAAATCTGTGGTATTGGATTTCTGGCTATTGGAGCTTGACATCTGAATTCATAACGTAACAAATGTAGACATTACTAGTGCCAACTATTTGTGAAACTGACCATAGTAAAGTGCTAGCATCGCCAGTTGAAAGGTGAGGCTTCACCCCAGGTTAATAAACCTGAATTTCTTTTCCAGTTCAGGTTTATTAAATGGACAATGTACCTGTCAGGGAAAATCTGCTTCCTCAAACTCCTCTGTGAGTTTGACATTCGCCTCCAGGGTTTTGAATTGAAGCCTCCTAACCAACCCAGACACTTGCGTTCTCAGGAAGGCCTTGTAGAAAGTGCTCCAGAATTCTGGAGTCCATAATTTCATCCACACTCTGCATACTAGGCTTTAACCAACTGTTAGGCCAATCTGCTAATCTCTGGGCAAACATCTTGGGTCATACAGTTATGATTGCTCTGATAAGGAACAAGGTATGGTTTCCATTCCCTGGTAGGATGATACACAACCATATCCAAAGCAAATACTTGCACCCTAATCAAAAGTTCACAATTTCTGTGAATACTTTCACTTGCAACTTTGAAATTTGCTTTCCAGGAACACTGATGCCAGTAAAACTCAACTGCACAAATATTTGAGGGTGTGAACAAAAAGAGCAAGCATAGGGAATGTGAATTGAATTCACTTATAAATCCAAGCAAATATTAACATAATTTTTAATTTTTATTTATTTATTTTGCATTGTTTACCCAGCTCTAGTCACAAACTCTTTGTCTTCTAATGCTGCAATGTTGTTTTTGGATGTACCATTTCTTTAAGATGGTATGTCTGAGAATGATGAAATTGCATGGTGGTGCCCCGTAGTTGGACGTTATTGGGCCTAATTCACCAATTTTTACACGTCAGCTTTATGCTGACAGGATTCCATTAGAAGATCTGGAGTGGGGAAAGTGAAACTTTTGTACAGGTATTTTACCCTTTCAAACCTGTTTGTGAGGATGAGCCAAAACTCTAACACTGGACATAAAGCTACTCAAACACTGGTAAGTTTGGACCTCCAGTTACAGCTCGGCCTAACTTTATATATTTGGCCCAAATCCTCATCCCCCCCAAACAATTTTCCATTAACAGGTTTCCTTTTGTCTCCCCAAAATTCCCTCAAACAGTTTCTGTCAGATGTTGCACAAGTGTTCATTTTCCCAACAATAAAACATTGTGAAGTTATGATATTGGTACATTTGTTTGAACTAACACATATACCAATCTGGCACAAACTACAGCTTTCTAGTTGGAAAAACACTTTACTATATTTAGCTCAAAAATAATGAGCATTACAAAATCATTTCTGTGCCACATGTTGGTAACTCTGATGAGTGAAAAGTATGATACCTCCCTTCAATCAAGGCTAAGCAGAAGGAGAAGCAAAAGTGATTATTCATTCAGACTAGGATACCCGTCAGTTCATCAGTCTTCCATTAAAGTGAGATCTTCAAGGTTTTTTAGTTAAAAAAAAAACCTGACCTTCTGTATTTTGACAGGATCACTATCTAGAAGTTCTTAGGAACTGGAATCCTCACTCCCCACCCACCCACAGGATACAAGTAACTTTTATCAACGTTAATGAAAGTTTGTTGTAGCCATCAGAGAGACTATAGGGATCCAATACTTTATTTATTCTACTGACTGCTTTATCTTCCATAAGGATAATCCAATTAAGAAAAAAAAAGGTAACAAAAGATTTTCTGTGAGATTAACAAATGCACCATGGGCTGTTTAGGCCTTCTTTTGTTGGAAAGTACAGCAATAGTCTTCCAACTGGGTATATCATTTCCTTTGGAAGAGGAAGTGGAATGCACTGGGCTAAAATAACAAAGAGAGAGAGAACTTTCTGTTTCTTTCTATTGTGACAGACCCAGACCAGTGGGGTACAGGAGTCTGATAGAGGGCAAATATACTGATCACTGGATGAGTAATTTTCTGTTCCCTGAGTGACCAGAGCAAGGGCTGCACTAGAGTAATCAGGAACCTGCTAGAACCAGTTAAGGTAGGCAGGCTAATTAGGACACCTGGAGCCAATTAAGAAGAAGCTGCTAGAATCAATTAAGGCAGGCTAATCAGGGCACCTGGGTTTTAAAAAGGAGCTCACTTCAGTTTGTGGTGCGAGTGTGAGGAGCTGGGAGCAAGAGGTGCAAGGAGCTAAGAGTGAGAGGGTGTGCTGCTGGAGGGCTGAGGAGCACAAGCGTTATTAGACACCAGGAGGAAGGTCCTGTGGTGAGAATAAGGAAGGTGTTTGGAGGAGGCCATGGGGAAGTAGCCCAGGGAGTTGTAACTGTCATGCAGCTATTACAGGAGGCACTATAGACAGCTGCAGTCCACAGGGCCCTGGGCTGGAACCCAGAGTAGAGGGTGGGCCCGGGTTCCCCCCAAACCTCCCAATTGACCTGGACTGTGGGTTCTCCCAGAGGGGGAGGTCTCTGGGCTGTTCCCCAACCCACATGGTGAATCTCTGAGGCAAGAAAATCCGCCAATAAGCGCAGGACCCACCAAGATAGAGGAGGAACTTTGTCACACTATGTATAGTAACTTAGATGAATTCCTCAGATTTGAGATCTTCTTTGGTGTCCTAATGCAGAATGAAACAAAATTATTTTCAAATGTACATTTAGCAGGAAATAACTCCACTGAGCACATTGCTTGTTTATAGTTTACAAGAACATATTTTTATATCTTGTCCCTTCTCCAAAACCTGCTACGGATAAATGATCATATTATTATTGTACAATAATAGAAAATTATTAAATACAGCAAACATATTGCAAAATATTGTCACAAAAAATCCAAACCATTATCATAAGGGTTTCCTGAGATTCAGAATAATCTCAGGTGGGAACTTCCTTCTCCAACATATTTATTAAAACAAAAGGCAACCATCTTGAGAGTGGCCAGGTGTTCGTTGGCTAGGAAAGATGTGGTAAAGTCACACTGGATCCTATCAGGGAAAGGCTGAGTCTGGAGTGCATCCACGGGGAGAGAAGACTCTACCCAATGGCCAAGATATCTCTAGAGGTCCAGGTTAAGTTGAGATAGAAACAGCTTGGAGTTGTGGATAAATTGCCCCATCTGTTGGTATTAGCGATGAACTGGAACTCCTTCCTGTTTAGGAACAAAGTAGGCATCTAGTGTCCATGGCAGAAGGGAACTGAGCCACCGAGGAAGATGAAGAAATGGCTCGAAGTAGGGGAACAGAAGAACCCTAGACGACAAGATACAAGCCATGGGGTGAAAGAGGGAAATGAATGTTCCTGAGGAGAAAATGGAAAAAGGGAAGAACTGGCCAAGCAGGCATTGGGAGCAGGGTGGGGAGGAAGCCCAAAACTATAGAGGAGGATGGGCTGTCCACAGAATGTTTGCTACTATAGCCTTGAGAGGAGGAACTATGAGATATGTTGGTAGGACTAGGAGAACAAGAGACCATAGAGAAAGGAGATGAAGGGATTCACCCTGACCCAAAATGAAAAGGGTGAATGGGAGGAGATTAGACCTTCGAATTGCCCCTGGTATGAAGACCAGGGGACTGAAACTGAATTATGGAGGTGTTCCTCCTCTATGAAATATGACTTCTGTGGGTGTAGACGAGATGACCCCCCTGGAGGGAAGTGCGGGAAACAGACACCCGGTGCCTCCTCTAAAGAAGGGAGGGCATGAGGGAAAAGGAACCTCAGCGTTCGACTACTGGGGAAGTGTGTGACAGAGGGCTGGAAGCTAACAGGTGAGCCAGCACTCTGATCTCTTAGGCACCAAACAGCTCCCCTGGAGAAGGCTCATTGGGGAGGTGCAGCTAATTAGCTGATCAGTCTGGGAGAACTGAGGAACCAATTAGCCATCAACTGCGGGGTAGAAAAGAAGACACAGGGAAGAAGTAAGGAGAGAGGACCAGGGCTGGCTGAGCCCAGTATGCTCTGAGATCTTGAGGAAGAGAGACCTCTGTTCTTCCCTGGCCCTGTGGGTAAGAGCTAAAGGACAAGAATCACTGTAAATACTTTGCTGCACAAGGCAACTGGTGTTGGTCATGGGAATATAAATAAATTCACACAAAGTTGCCACTGAGGGGTTTCTGTGGCATCAGAGGACAGTGAGAGAGGGTGCCGTGTTACAGTCATCTCAGTGTAAATGAGAAAATGCCATTCTGTCTCTTACATACTCAAGAGTAGACAAAGGCCCGCATCAAAAACCTGAGACTGAAACTCCAGCCCACAAATTTTGGGAAAGTTTTGATCCATTTTGTGATTTAGATTTCATGGCTGACTGATATCTTTGTAACAAGCTAAACCAACACCCTGGATTCAAAACCCCCGATCATTGGAAAAGTTAAAAGAGGATCCAAGTCCAGATATGAACTTTCCTACTAGCCCTAGTCAGAAACTTATCTACTGGT